GTATTCATTCCACTCTTAACAATTCACCTGGAGGTTAGCCCCCGTTCACTCACGCGTCCGACATTCTCGCTCGGAACGGTCCCCACTAATTCTCTACACTTGGAGGTGAGGCCCCGTTCGCTATTGCGCTCGACTCCTTTTCGACCCGCGCTTGAAACAGTCCCAATCACAACTCCTGGATAAAAATCGGCTAACTCTCTTACTCGGATAACTCCCGGATATAAAATCGTCGAACGCTCTCGCGCTCGCCTTCTTATACCTACTCGTTATCCCCTCCATGGCGCTCGCATCGCTGTGCTCGCTTTATGCGCTGTAAGCGCTCACGATGTTAGCTAACCTTATCTGCTACGACGCTTAATTTGTTCCCGCATTTTGTATTTATATAATTTTTTAATGTATAATTTTCTTTATTTTCAGGTACCCCGTTACATTGGAAGGATGCCGCCGCTTGTGTTCTCCCGCTGGAGTTACAGATAAGTATTCGTTATGCTATTTACAGGTTGTTCGTTTTCGCAACTCCATCCTCCTGACTATTTACAATATTTACACTATTGTCTCTTCTTTCGCTAGACCGGATGCCGGCGTTTTCTTCGCCACCCGGTATATCTCTAGTTCGGTATCGCGTTATTGCGCTTCGTATATTCTCCCTACAACGGTGACGGTCGGTTTTTTTTGTTCCGTTTTAAAGTGCGCCGCGATAAAATTTTGCGAACACCCGGTATATGTTGAGACCTCTAATTTTGCTCGCTTGCCCCTTTCAGGCTCTAAGAGAGAATAACGGTTGGTTTTCCCGTTCTTACAATTCGCGGTGTTCCGCGACAATTTTTCACGGACACCCGGTATACGTAGTAGCTTCTAATTTTACCATTGTTTCCCTACGAGGTTCTAAATGAAGATAACGGTTAGTTTTTCCGTTCTTTTGAATCGAAGTGTCCCGCGACAATTTTTCACGGACACACGGTATACGTGGTAGCTTATAACTTTACTATTATTCCCCTACTAGGTTCTAAATAAAAATAACGGTTGGTTTTTCCGTTTTTCAAATTTAACGTGTTCCGCGACAACTTTTCGCAGACACCCGGTATATAGTTTGATCCCTTGATATCTCTGTTTCTATGGTTTCGGCGCCCCTTAAGGGCTTTAACGATTTTCTATTTCAGGTTATTTTATCTCTCGTTGAGAAAATCCTGCTTTCTTTCCGAAACCATTGAGGCAGGTGCCCCAATGCAACAAAATTTAATGATGATCTCTTGGATCATAACGAAATATTCCCATTATGCGGGCTTTATACTACTTATCTTATTCTAAATTTTTATTTTTTCTTTTCTGTTTCTTTTATTTTCCCTTTGTATAATATTAATTGTGATAATAATCTTAATACTAATGACAATTCTAATCGTAATATTCATAGTAATGGTAACGGCAATAATAATAGTAATAATGATAATAGTTTCAATAATAATAATATGAACGCACACTGTTTCGCGTGTATATTTGAAAATCGGAAATTGCACAGTAACTACTATCGGGACCGCGCTACGCTTCTACCCCTTATAACTGTCTTTAATGGTCTGTACCTTGTTACTTGGCGCGGCTGCTGCGGACATGAAGCTGGAAACTTGGCTCCGGCTTCAACGTCTCACCAACGTTCTCGCACTCATAATATCTGTCGACGAGCATCCCTTCCGTTAATCTATATTCACGACCATGTCCCGCGTGAATTATACGACGACCGATCTCACGCTCCTTCAAAATCAACCACTGTACGGCTTTGCGCGACTGATTGTCATTCATTCTATAGCCACCCGTCGAAATGATGCCTATTTCCTCTTTGCGCAGAAAGTTTTTCCGAAAATACACGTTGAGGCGATAGTCGTGCATTCCACGAATGGGCACACGTTTCCACGTTCTAAAAATATTTTTCTAAACGACAGGCATGCTTGCCGAAGAATATCTACGTCTGTACGACAATAAGTGACTATTTCACGCTGGAAATCGAATACGGTGTTTTTTTTTCGTCATTTCCGCGTGCCACACAAGGAAACGTTCGCGTTCCTCAGGTTGCATCGTTTCGGGTGCATAATAATCAACGCCCGGTAGAGGTCCTACGTACGTTTGATTTTCGCGAGTATTAAAAAAATGCGGAAAGATGCCTTTGTCGCAAGTATCCGGCAACCCGAAGGCCTTCGGTAATTCCGAGAAACGCATCGGCATGTAATTAACACTATCGATAAATTTTGTACGTCCTACTGTTCAAAACGATAATTTTTGTACCGTTTAAAATCACTTTAGGTTCTAATCTAGAGTGATTTTCGACTATGAAGCGGAGAATGAACTGCGCGTCGAAAGCTTTCGCATTGTGCGCTATACAAATAATGCGAGTGAAATTTTTTGTGGGTCGTGTTACAAATTCGACAAATTCCCCTACCGGATCGCGACGAAAAACAAATTTATGAGCGCCGCACCAGCGGCAGTGTTGCGATAGATCGTGAACTTCCGCGCACGAATCGTAAATTTGTTTCGCGACGCAGAGAGTTGGCACGTGGATCATTATTTCAGTGCCATTCATCGATTCGTCTTGTCGCATTTCGAAATCGTAGAACACGAAGGCTGTTCTCCCTTTTGACGTTCTTGATCGCACACATTTGTGTTATCACATTCATTCTCTCTCACGATTGCGGGAGAATCTCCGACTGACTGGTCATCGGAGGATCTACCTTCGCGAGAAAGAGGTTGCATAAAACACAAATAATTCTACGGTTTCGGAGAACTACAAAGTTTACAAAAGGAAACGCCGCATTCGTGTTCTTTTGTTATATTTATAACACGCCCACAGTTCTCGCAAAATTGTATCACACTACAAATACTTCGCGGCGTTTTTCCATCATACGATTTTATCGCGCTATGATGATTCAAACATGCGTTCCCGAAAAACGAACGTTTGCATGTCTCGCACCTGACTACATTTACTTCGAGATGATCACACGGCGGCACGTTATTGCAACGCGGACACTTATTTGAACAGCGGTGACCCCTTTCTTCGCGATAGCCTATGTTACAAGGGATGCAATAACCTTCCCTACTTCCCGCGGCTGCTTTTAAATTTAATATAGGCCTATAGTGACGTTCACCCTTGTAGTACATAATATACAATTTGTACGTGGGTTCGCGTCCTTGCGAGGCGAGCAGATCGCCTCCATCGAATATAGGCCTATATTCTTTCCCGCGCGCGAAATCATTAAAACTATATACAACAATCGCGATATTGGGTGCAGCGAGAAAACGTTGGAAACGCTCAATTTCTCGAATCCCACAGCTCTCCGGAGGCACGGTGATACCGGCCCTTCTCGCTAGGTCTTGCGCGAGATTGCGTTGCAATACCGATTGCTCGCGCCTTACCGCTTCCCACCGGCGATGAAGCTCCCCGCTCGCAAAATTCCACGTTCGTGATATATTTGGGCGCATATGATCGAACGAGGGAAGCATAAATTATCAGAATTCATGATCGACAAAATTGAGCGTTTCCTAACGTCTTCCCGTGTGAGTTTATTCGAAACTCCTCCCCGTCCACGAGGTGCTGCGACGTTGTAAACGTGCACGTTGAAATTCTGTGCGATATCGAGTCCGCCGGCGCTTTGGGCCACAAAACTCACAAGACGCCAAATGTTCTCGTGAGTTAAATCGCGCGCCGGCCGAAACGATAATCTCACCGGACCATGCGTTAAACCTGCCGAATCAAACGATAATCCAACGTAATCGTATGGCTCGGAGGAATATATCGCGTAGGTGTAAATTTCATGAAACGCGTTTTCTAACCAATCGTAAATATCGGCACCGTCTGGTAACGCACGCAAACGAAATGTCGCCTCTCTCCCTAACATACCGAAATTCCTAAACCGTCGCGAATTTTCCCCTATTAAAAATAAATGATTAAAATTTACGTCCTCGTTTTGCCGATTGATCTCTGGCGTAGCTTCTTCCACAACCTCCTCTTCCTCCTCTTCCCTCTCCTCTTCCTCCTCTCTGTTCTCCTCGGGAGTTTCTTCCGTCCTCTCTACCTCAATTTCTGCAGGCACCTCCTCCTGACCTGCGGTGACTCGTCCTCCTCCTCGTTGCGACTCCACGATCATGTTCACTTCTGTATTTTCAAAAGAAAAAGAAAATGTTACAAAATATGAAAAATTTTCAGTAAATTTTTATTTTATAGAAATATTTGACAAAAATCTCTTTAAATGATATGTTCGTATTTAAATTTAAGAAACGTATGTATGTCGTAATTGTTGCCGGCGGCGGGAGCCCTCGATCAGGTTCCCCCGTTAACAGCAATGAAGACAATTTTATTTGCGCCGG